CTATCATGTTGCTATTGGTTGCACTCCACAACCTTATGGGTTGCTCTCCATTGTTGTGGAAATATTTTCTCTAAATTTGCCAGTAAAATGGACTGGATATTATAACCATAATTCTTACTTGACAACTGTTTTTGTTATATATAGTTTTACTATGTTAAAGTTAAAACCTTCATTTTTTAATTAGACAGAAAGGGGGAAATTCCGTGGAACAATCTTTTTGTACACTGTAAATATGTATTACTCTCACTGGTTAATAAAGAGCTGACAGTCCAACAGCTAGGCAGGATTTGGGGGGCAGAGAGAAAGCTGGGAAGAAGAAAGGCAGAGTCTTAAGAGTTGAGAGGAGTTGCCAGCCAGATGGAGAAGAAGCAGCATAGAAAGTACATAGATGAGGTAAATGAGCCTTGGGGCAGCACATAGATTAATAGAAATGTTCTAATTTAAGTTGTAAGAGCTAGTTAGTAACAAGCATAATCTATTGACCAAGCATTTATAATTAATAATAAGTCTCTGTGTGGTTATTTGGGAGCAATGGCCAGGACACAGAAATACTCTGACTATGCTCCACAATGTTATGGTAAGGGCTTGTTGCAGAAGACAACACTTATGTTTTCCAACATGAATAGTTGGGCCAGTGCCTACGTAGAAGCTTCCCCCAACCTGCCTGTAATCATGTAAATGAATGGAACCAGAAAAGATCATATTGAATGAGGTATCCCAGACCCAGAAGGATAAATGTTGCATGTTCTCTCTCATGCAATAACAATTAATGAAAAAACGAGGCTGTGAAGGAGAGCAGGCAGGGGTATATGGGAGGTTATAGATGAAGGAAAGAAAAGGGGGAAATGGAAATAGATAAGATCTCCATGAGTAAACATGGGACAATGGGGGGAAATGGAGGGGAGGGGATGAGGGATGAGAGTATGAGGAAACAGGATAGTCAAGCTGGGTAAGGGATGGAGTAGGAGAGCAATGAAAAGGGAGAAATGTTCTAATTATAATTTCTATTATATTATAATCCCAAAATTTGAAAGACAAATTATGGAGCATGAAGTAGACATAGTACACATGTATGAAGTTTTCAAAAATTAAAATTTTATTAAAATAAATTAATAAATAAAACTAAATAATGAAATTTGTTTTTCACTGTTTCCTCTGTCCAGTAATGACATCTTATTTGATATTCAATGAGTGAGCACATGCTCATTCCCAGTTCAGTATCTTAAGCCTCACACTCAGAAAGATCTCTCACCACAAAATATTATTCTCAATCCCGTCCTGTATGCGCTACAACTTTCCCTAAATTTCTCCACACTGACACCTTACAGTTTCTTTTCATCCGATTTGAATGCCTACTTCTTCCTTGATTTATGTTCCATCATTGTAGCATATGCCCTTTCCTATAAATTCAGGGCTTGACATCTCAGCATAGAACAGATATTCACTAAAGGAAATTTATATAGGTTCAAAACATCTTAAAAATGCCTTCACCATGTCCTGAGCACATTACTGTATGTTGTTTTCTCTGAAAAGATGGTGTAAAATGGAAATATCTGGTGCTTTGCATCTATGTGAACTCTTTTCATTACTCAGTTCCTCAAAATGTACTCACTAAGGACAGTGGATAATCACTGGGAAATAATTCTCATTTAAATGAGCAAAAGAATTTCTTTGTTGTACATTAATGACAAAGCCTCTATTCTAAAAGTGAACATTCTCTTAATAGGCAATTAATTGGACTATATGATCAAATACTTTCTTTAAATAAAGAATTTGAAATCATTCTGTGACCCTGAGGAAAAATATGAACTTTCAACCCCACTGTGACTGACTGCAAATATGGAACCACAGTTTGTTTCTTTTTTTTCCACTGAGAATTACAACTTGAGAATTACAACTTTTCTAATGAATCCAACTCAGAGGTTAGCACTTTCACATCATTCATTACAGAAATAGACTCAATGACGCAAAGCACGTGATCATGTCATTAGGTGCAGAAAGAGCCTTTGACAATATCCATCATCACTTCATGATAAAGTCTAAGAGGAAAGGTAGCATATTTTCAGCATAATAAAAGCAATAAACAGAAAACACACAACCAACATTTCAACAAAGGAAACTCAAAACACTTCTACCAAAATCAGCAACAAGACAAGGATGACCATTCTTCCTCTTCCTGTACAGTATGGTACTTGAATACTTAACTAGAAGAGTAAGACAAGAGGAGATAAAGGTCATACCAAAAGGGAAGGGAGAATTGAAAGTATTCTTTATTTGTAGGTGGTGCGATTCTATAAAAGAAGACTCTAAAAAGCTCCACCAGAAAACTCTGACAGCTGACAACATCTTTAGCAAAGTAACAGGATATAAAATCTAAGCACAACAATTAGTAGCCTACCTGTATACAGACAACAGACATACTGAGAAAGAAATCAAGAAAACAATGCCATTCAAAACAGCGCCAAAGTATAATAAATTGGAATAAATCTCACCAAAAAAGTGAAAGACCTGCACAAAGACCTTACACAAAGGTGTAAGACAGTGAAAATAAGAAGTTGAAAAAGTTACCAGACATGGAAATACCTCATATGATCACATATTCATAAGGTTAAAGTTGGGAAAATGGACATCCTAACAAAAGCAATCTACATACTCAACACAAGCCTCATAAAAATTCCAATGCTCCCACAAATTATGTTACCATTTTCCCAATACATGTTGCAGGCAGGATAAATTGTAAGCTGAAGCTTTTGTGACTGAGTTGGTGTCCCAGTCCCACCACTGGAAGCCTTGCCTGGTTACAGAAGATGGCTGGTTCAAGATCTGTATTCCCCTTTCCTAGGAGTCTTCACTAGTGTCACCCTTGTAGATTCCAGGGAGTTTCCACTGCACTAGGTTTCCATTTCTCTCCCAAGTGTCCTCCAACTCCAGTCGTCTCTCCCTGTACCAGGGGTGTTGGGCTGGGGGACCGAGAAAAGTCAAGGGAGGGAAACTGCAATTGGGATGTAATGTATGAGAGAAGAATGAATTTTAAAAATAAAGTCACCTATGGAAAAAAAGTTTCCAGTGCTTGTTCACAGAAAACAAAAAAGAAAAGTTAAATTTCATATAGAAACACAAAAGACCAAGAGTAGTCAAACAACATAACAAAAAAACGAAAGCAAAACTGATGGCGGCATCATCATCATCACAGCTTCAAGTTACACTACACAGTGATAGCAATAAAAACAGCATGGCAGTGGCCCCCAAACAATGACATTGATCAGTAGAAGATAATTGAAGAGCTACATATAAGCCCACTTGATTTTTGTAAAAGAGGCCAACAATTTACTTTGTGAAAAACAAATGGTGTTGGTCACACTGGATATAGATAGATGAATGAAACCAGATCCCTATCTCTCACCTTACACAAAACTCAATTTCACATGGACCAGGTATCTCAAAATAAGGCTTGATACATCAAATCTGATAGAGGAGGAAGTACAGGATAATCTTTAATTCAAGGGCACAGCAAAAGACTTTCTGAACAGGACACTGGTAGCATAAACGCTAAGACCAACATAATAAATGAGACCACATGAAACTAAAAATCTTCTGTACAGCAAAAAACACCATCATTTTATTGACAAGGTGGCCTTACAGAGTGATAAAAAGTCTTTACCAGTTGTACACACAACAGAAGGTATCTAGAATATACAAAGAACCCATTCATTACTTCAAACGATGAATCATGGTGCTCACATTTGACCTTTACCCATGTGAGTAAATATGTCAAAAATGAAGCAATTACAATCACCAGATACTTACTTACTACACATTAAAGGAAACTATTTAGCTATGTAACAGGATTCGAAGACTATTCTGTAATTAGTAATAGATCAAATGCTTTCACTTTAATAGTAAATTATTAATCTGTTGACTGTGTAAAGTAGTTTAAAATGTAGCATGTTGGATATGCCAACATCATTAAAGCAAACAATATTAAATAAGAAGTTTAAATTTAAATTTTTACATACAAATTCTTGATTTTCTGCACTCTTATCAAAATTTCTCTCATTTTCCAGTTTAGATTTTGGTATTTCTTCTTTTAGTTCTTCATACAAATCTATATTTTTTATGTAAAAAATATGAACAATTATACAAAACAATATTCTATAAAAATAGAGTAATTTAAAGTTAGGTGTTATTTTTAAAATGTTATTTCAGTTAACCACGTAGTATTTGTGTATATTTATATCCTTAGAAAAATTGTTATGGTAAAAAAAAAAAACACTTTATTTGAATAGATACAACATATTGACTAGTTTTGAGTCATACATGCCTTTATAGGATTTGTCTGGAAATTCATAAATGACATATATACCTGTCTACAGTTTCCATATTTGAAGGCACTGTGGGAGAACACGTTCACTGATTACTTCATCAAAATTATCCTTAGTTTATCACACATTTATCTGTAAACAGGACAACATACTTATGCTCTATACCAATGGTTCTCAACCTTCCTAATGCTGCGACCCTTTAGTTCAGTTCCTCAAGTTGTGGTGACCCCCAATCATAAAATTATTTTGGCTGTGATTTCATAACTGTAATTTTGCTGCTATTATGAATCATATTGTAAATATCTGTGTTTTCAAATGGTCTTTGGTGACCCTTGCGAAAGGTTCGTTTGACCCCTAAAGGGTCATGATTCACAGGTTGAGAACCATTTTGTTCTGTACTGACAAATTGCCTTTTTATGACTCATTCTGGAGTATACAACTTTTTTCAGAGAAAAATGGGTGTCGCTTTCTTTGTGGCTACCCTAGACCATTATTACTGTACAAACTTTCCCACTTCAGCTAAAACCCACTTTACAGGTATATCTGTTTCTCTCCTTGACATGTATGAACTATATTTGGGGTCGTCCTTAGATCAGCAGATCTCATTTGTTTTTCTTTTTCTTTTTTTCTGTAATTATTTTGTGTTTCTGATAGGTGTTAACACTGGATTTTGAAAGTAAGGATGACATTCCAGACAGGTCTTCTCTACTGATAATGCCTGTGCTGACACACATACATCGAGTTTCAGGCAAGAGAGTGCAGAGAAATGAAAAGATGCAAAAGCAAACAAGAGATGTAGATAAGTAAGTAACAGGATTTTCAGTGACTGCTTCACCAAATGATAGTGTATTCTGCTTTATTGAAACAGATTATAGACATGCTTTATAAATAGCACTCATTTTCCTTGTAAATCAAATACAGTGCAACACACATGAAGGGAATCGGTGCACTATAAGTGCTAGAACAACACAAACATGGTTTTTCTTATTCTGAAGATGTGGTGTATTGCTGTTTTTCCAGGACAGAACAGAATCTCTGAGCTCAGATATGTCTTTGCTTTGGTCTTTCAGGCAGCTTTGACTGTATGTGTACATTCTGAGACCCAGGACTACATAAATCATGTTCAAACTTTGGAGAAGTCTCATTAGTCTCATGATGGACTTTTGTAAGTTACTAGCAAACAGAAGGATTACACACTGGAAAAGTTAAGGCAATGGAACATGAGTATTAAACATTGAAATTGAGCTTACATGTATAAAAGCTTGTGAATATATTTTAAAGCGTGTACGCCACTAATGAGATGGCATTGCTCATGTCAAACCCTACCATCCCTGTCATCAAGAACTAAGTGGCATCACTGGGAACATTTGAAATGTATTAACATGCATGGAACAGAAGAAAATGACTTGGGAAATTTACCTGGTTCAGATTGCTGTGGTTCAGACTTGGGTTTGGAGATTGGATGAGAATAATCCCTAAGCTGAATAGATTTTGAAATGAGATGTTTTATCAGTGTTTTGGACTTCAACCAATATTTAATTATTCAATATAAATATTAAAATGCAGTTACCTCTGGGTGTGGACATTTGTCAGCCCACACTGAAAGAGAAAGGATAAATAAAATCAATTCCATGCACAATGACAACTTCAAAACTACCTTTATGAAGGCTTCGGGTGCAATGACTTCTCGTTCCCTTCTTTCAACATAAATACTTGTTAATTTACTGGTTAGGACAGCAGCTAACAGAAATATATTGAAATATACCAA